CAATGACGATAATTATATTCTTTTCAATTTTCATATAAATATCATTCTCATATGAAGCGGCGATAGTAGAATAAGTTAGCTACATACGAAACCATGATTCACCACAGCTGACCTAGAAAATCACACCACACTAATTATGTCTATAAATAGAAATGACCTACTGTATCATCTTGCGAACATTACCAAATAAGGAGCGAAGCTTGCGCCTCCCCCATTATTCGACCGATCATCCGATTTTAACATTGCCATATAAGGTCATGAAGACGACCCCTCCAAGACAATAACGCTTATGAGTCACTTCCCATTGTTCGTAACAATATAAAAGCAGCTACCCTCACCGCAAAAACGGCCTTTTTTCCATACGAAGTTTAGAGAGAAGTTCTTGGGTGATCAGCTTTCTAGTTTAACTCTTAGTCTTCGCGTCAGTCAATTGAAGCTTTCGGTTTGTCAAATCCCCAGTGTATTACTTTACAATAAAGAAGTTATATTATCGAATCTCAAGTTATTACAATAATTCAACGACTGTTCTATCGAAGATCCCCTTCCTTATCGAGTAAAAGCATCAACCAACCAGAATTTCCACCAGCAGACATTGACAATCTACCCTCAGGCTACGGATTTTGGGATTTTAACTCCCTTAACCTCACGGCAACGTCCCACAAAAAAATAGTTGAATTCTGGATCGCCTTACCAACGATAGCTGAATCAACATTTGGAGTTCTCCGGGTCGAACCGAGAATTCCTAAAATTCGCCTAGCGTTACATACGACGTGACACTATCTCTCTTTGTCTTTTCGCGCCCAAAACCATTTTACATGTCGCATGTTATGATGATGATATCATCACTGTAATATGATACAAATGTCACGTGACCAAGTATGTGATATAAAATAAAAATTAATTTTAAACTACAAATTGCTCGCGTTTATTTTTCGTATTTGTTATTCTTTTCTTCTTACAATGAATAGGTACATATGGCATAGGATAGGTTGGATAGGAAGTAAAGAAAGTACATATATTTGATATGAACGACAACATTTTTTTATTCACATATTATTACATTCGGTTTTTTTCGTATGTATTAAAAACTAAAGCTAATAGCTCGCAATCGACGAGCTGATGTCCATTGAAAATATCGCTATCGCTTATAGCGTCTTCGGACGCGATGTTGGAGAATCGCGTATACTTGGCATCTACCGTATCGACGAGTTGAACTACTCGTTCAAACGTTACATCGATACATCCGTCAAACGCAAATATGCGGCGTAGCGTCGTCAATGATGAAATTATATTGATTTCTCACAGTTCTTTCTTTCAA